GTTTCTCTTGTGACCCAGGATACGTTTTATCTTGGTTAATGTTCCATGGGTACTTGAAAAGAATGTGTACGCTGCTATTGTTGGGTATTCTATGAATTTATTTTGATTTTATTGGTTGATGATGTTCAGTTCTTCTATATTCTTGCCTACTTTCAGTTTAGTAGCCTATCAGTTAAAGACTATAAAGTATATAAGTCCCCAACTATAACTATAGGTTTTTCTATTTCTACTCCCAGTTGTATCATTTTTTTAAATTTATTTTTCAATTACAATTGACATACAATATTATATTAGTTGCAGGTGTACAACATAGTGATTAGACATTTACATAACTTATGAAGTAATCACCCCAATAAGTCTACTACCCATCTGACACCATACATAGTTATTGCAATATTATTGACCATATTCCCATTACTGTACATTACATCCCCATGCCTGTTTTTATAACTGGCAATTTGAACTTCTTAATCCCTTTCACCTTTTCACTCATCCCCCAAACCCTCTCCCATCTGGCAACCATCAATTTGTCCTCTGTATCTATGAGTTTTCTATTTTGTTCATGTGTTTTGTTTTTCAGAATTCACATATAAGTGAAATCATATGGTATTTGCTTTCTCTGTCTCACTTATTTCACTTAGCATAATACCCTCAAGGTCCATTTTGTCACAAATGGCAAGATTGCATTCCTTTACATGGCTGAGTAATATGCCATTGTATACATGTACCACATCTTTGTTATTCATTCATTCATTGGTGGACACTTAGGCACGATACACCCGATAAAGCGTTAATACCCAAAATATGTAAGGAACTCATATAACTTAACACCTCCCCAAAATAAAATATGATTAAAAAATAGGCAGAGGACCTGAATGGACATATCTTCAATTAGGACATACAGGTGGCCAACAGACATATGAAAAGATGCCCACCATCACTAGTCACCAGTTCCATTCATTTTTGCTTCATGTTTTGCAAGCTCCATAGTTTGTTCCAAACACATTTAGGATGCTTTTATCTTCCTGGTGGATTAATGCTCTTATCATTCAATATTTTCCCTAATTGTCTCTAATAATTTTCTTTGCTCTGAAGGTGACTTTACCTAAAATTAATATAGCCACTATTTTTTTTAAATTGTTTGCGTTGTATATCTTTTCCTATCCTTTTACATTCCACGTACCTATGTCATTGTATTTCAAGCAAATTTCTTGTATTTGGTTGTATCATTCTTTTTAATTCACTTGGCTAATCTCTATCTTTTAATTGGTGTGTTTAGACTATTTATGTTTAAGATCATTAGTGATATGTTAGGGCTTAAATCTGCCAATATTTCTTTTTCCTGTTCATTTCCTTTGTTTCTCATTTCTTAAATTCCTGTGAGTCACTTTTAAGCATACCTCTTTTTATTGTTTTCTTTATAGTTGCTTTAGTTGTTATAATTATGTAACATCACAGTCTACTGGTATCAGCATTTCCACTTCTAGTGAAATGAAGAAATTACTTCTAATTAGGTCCCTTTACCCTCCATATTTTTAAAATGTATTAATAATTGTTGTATTTCCTCAACAAACATTGGGCACCACATCAGATGATGCTGTAATTTTTGCTTCAACTTTCAAATATGATTTAAGAATCTCCGGAAAATTAGCATACTCTATTATATTTACCCGTTCCAATATTCTTCCCTTTCTGAAGTCTCAAGCCTTTTTCTGTTATTGCCTTTCTGTTTGGAGAGCTTCTCTAGCCATTTTTTAAGGGTAGATTTGCTGGTTAATGAATTTCTTAGTTTTCATTCATCTGAGAATGTCTTTATTTCCCCATCATTCATGACGGATATTTTCACTAAATATAGACTCCTGGGTTGACAGTTATTTTCTTTCAGTACTTGAAACATGCTATGCCACTTCCTCCTGGTCTCCCTGATTTCACATGAGGAATTTGTTGTCGTTCAAATGAGTAATTTAAGTAATATGCCCTTTCTCTCTGGCTGCTATCTTTTATTACTTGTTTAATTATATTTAATTATGATGTGTCTTGCCATGGATTTACCTTATTTGGAATTTGCTCAGCCTCTTCAATATACATGTTTATGCGTTTCTCTAATTTGGGGAAGTTTTCAGCCATTATATCTTCAGATATCTATCTAGACCCACTCTCTTCTCTTCTCTCCCGGGACTTTTGTAACATGAATGCTAGCTCTTTTGTTTTTGTCTTGCATGTCCCTGGGACTCTGTTCATTTTGTTCTAGTCCATTTTCTCTCTGTTGTTCAGATTGGGTAATTTCTATTGATCTGTCGTGACATTCAATGATTTTATCTGTGTCACACTCTACTATTGAACTAATCCAGGGAGTTTTTTTATTTTAGTAACTGTAGTGTTCAGTTCTCTAATTTCCATTTGGATCTTTTTTATAGCTTCTATTTATTTGCTGAGATTTTCTATTTTTGCATTTGCTTCAAGAGAATTCCTAATTGCTTGTTGGACAAATTTAAGAATTTCGACATCAGATTCATGTCAATATTGGCTTCTGCTGATTGTCTTTTTTCACTCATGTTGTGATTTTCCTGGTTCTTGGGATGACAAAAAAATCTTGGATTGCATATTATGGGACTCTGAGGCCTATTTAATCTTTTTTTCTCGGCAGTCAGTCTCTCCATTGAGGAGGAGCACAAGGGCCGAGTGGGTGTGGGTAGGATGCAAAATTAACTTCCTGTTCAGCCCCACTGACACTGTCTATGGTTGTCCCATTGGTGGTTGGAGTAGAAAATGTATTGTCTCAAAGGTTTTCTTTTGATAGACCACCTTTTTCCTAGTCTTTTAGCTAGACGAATCAGGCTTTTCTTGAAGCCATTTTTTTTTCTTCTTTTTTTTTTTAACCTATGCCTGTTGTTGGTTAAGGTGGAGGCATCTGGGTTGCTCTATTCAGGATATATGGAATTCAATAAGGAAGTTCAGGGAACTCATCTCCATGTCTTTAGTCTAAGTAGTTCACCTTCTTTCCACCGTGTAGAGTCTTTCTATACTTATTTATTAGTTTATGCACAGGGATGTTTAGTTCTAAGGGGGAGAATCTAAGTGAAATGTAGCTACTCCATACTGGCAGATTCAGAGTTTGGATTGATTTTTATATTCAAAAATATCCTTAGTGGGCTGCATCCCCCACAACTAAGACTGAACATGGCACCTTGAGCTGAGCTGCCCCTGAGCTGCCGATGGGCAGCCGGATGGCTCAGTTGGTGAGAGTGCATGCTCTTAACAACAAGGTTGCCGGTTCGACTCTCGCATGGGAGGGTGGACTGCCTCCCCACCCCCTGTCTCGCAACTAAGATTAAAAATGGCAACTGGACTTGGAGCTGAGCTGTGCCCTCTACAACTAAGATTGAAGGACAACAACTTGACTTGGAGCTGATGGGTCCTGGGAAAAACACACTGTTCCTCAATAAAGTTAAAAAAAAAAAAAACCTTAAAAAAAATACTCCAGTCTTCAATACCCATAAATTCAAAGACACTTTTAAATAAATCTTAGCCCACCTTCTTTAACATGTTTTCTCATTCATAAGATTTCATATCTCCAAATATCAAACTTCCCCTTGATCACTTGTAAAATTACCTAAAGGAAGGCCTTGATCATTCTAAGCATCTTTTCTATTTAATATAAGCACAACCACTGAACACCTGTTTGAGGCTTGGAAGATATTCCAGTGCTACTATATTGGGAACGGGATGGAATCCAGACTCAGACAATGGTCAAACAAAGGGAAAGTTCCTAAAGAAATTTGCTGGTAGGTTTACATCATTTTTTTCCTACCTTAGCCTAGAAAACGATCATAAACAAACATTCCCTGGATACACTTGTTTTTTGAACTACAATGTAGTATTTCCCTCTCCTAAAACAAAGCTTCTTATGGTGTTTCTTCCCCCTCAAATTGAAGCTTGGATATTAACACTGGTATAATTTTTCTTTCTCACTCTGTGTTTCAGTTGTAATTAATTTTTCTCAATCCTCTGTCATTCACTCTCTCAGAAATACCCAAACCAAGTGCTTCTACTGCCATGTGCATCTCAGATAGCACCAATGTCATCCCCTGCCCATTCAGGCCAGTGGTTCTCCCCAGCACACGCGCAGTGTCACACAGAGGTCTCCATTGTCCACTGTCCTCAGCCACCTCAAGGGGCTGCTCTCCAGGGGAGGAGCATTATTTTATAGTCCCCACATAGCATGTACAACAAAACAATGGGAGTAATAGCAGCTCTGAGTCCCAGGGGGTGTGACATTGTTGCATTCACAGCTACACTTTCAACCTGAATTGTCACCCGGCCCTGTCGCAGTGGTGTTGATAGCTGTGGTGGATGTTCTGACAAATTTAAAGATAGCCAAAGGGACACAAGATTTATTTTATAGAAATCTATTCTGGGAATTTTCCCAATGCTCAAACTGGAAGGAAAACTTTTACCCCATTTCTTAAGGCCCTCCTGTATCTTATCTTCCTTTTGTTCTGCAATATTTATGGACCAGGCAATGCTCCGAGTATTGAGGATACAGCAGCGAGCAGGAAAGCAGACATTGTCACTATCCTTGTAAAGCTTACCTTCTGACCTGGGAGACAAGTTATCCCAATAGCTACCCCAACAATTATTTAATCAATTGTATTAAATGCAGTAGTAATATAATAAGTGGCTTCAATTTTCTTTAAAATCTCAACAAGATTCATATTTTTTCACAGGTGTCGAGCACAAAAGAGGATGTGCTTAGAGCAAGAAAAAAAAAAAAGAAAATCAATGCAATTCTTTTAGAATTAGCGAGGATTTGAACTCAATGTACTTATTTTACTGCCCTGATTTCATCTGCGCCTCTTCCTAAATGTTCTACACACTGGGCTGAGGCAGTACATCTGACGCGTTTCTAAAAATCAGGAGTGAATTATTATGAGCGATTCACTGGGAGGGAGGCGGGTGTGCCATGACCCCTGACGTACCCACCCAGTGGCAGGCCCTACCTCCTTGTTTGTCCTGTCAGCTTGCACCAACGTTCCATTCAGGCAAGGTTCCACGTAGTGAAGCTCCTCATTATACTGCAGAGGGAAGAAAGAACCGAGAGGAAACAATCAAGCGTTTGAAGAGTACTAAATAATTGAAGGATACACGCACACAAACAAAAATGCAGCATGATCTAAGGCTCAATTCATTCACATAAGGTGACTTTCTCAACTGATGTCCCTATAGGAAACCATGCTAAAGTGCCAAAGACAGGCTTTATTCTTTTCTTGTTTGAAGAAACTTCTAGAGCACGTGTCAGTGTAGGGCAGTGTTCAGGTTGTGCCAAGTTACATAATCCTTCAGGGGTGGCTCCAAACACTGGGGCTCCCCGGACATGACTGACAGACAGCACATGGTTCAGGTGGGCTCTAAAGAGTATCCCAAACCTGGGCAGACTGAGCACCAGCTCCCGCCTTTGGTTTCACAGAGCCACAGGAGTCATGTGCGGGTCATGTGTGTGGTCACACATGTGTGTGGGTCACACGTGTGTGAGGACAGAATGGAGGAGAGGCCTTGATGTTCCCCTGTCACTCCAGGAGGCTACACGGGTGTTGGTCAGGACTTCACTCATACCAAGTGACACCACCTTCCACATGGGCCAATGCCGGCCTTCCAATCATTTCTGAGCCCAGAATACCCAAAATAAGACTATCTGTTTTCGTCCAAAGCCCACAAGTAGGGAGTAAAAATTTGAGTGTTTTTATCTTCATTTCTCTCATCAAGCACGATTCTCTACACATTAGGTAGGCTCGTCCTTTCCAAACATAAATCTGATGATGTCACCTCTTGTCACTCCCCTTCACTGCTCCCTACTGCTTTTCAGATGAACCTTCCCAGGGGTCTGCAAAGCTCTGGACACTTGGTATCTGCTGGCCTTTGTAGTATCTTTACTCATTAGTCCTCCAGATGAACATAAAACCAGCCGGCTTTAATTCCTTTCCTGTCCTCTGACATTCCCTGTCTTTCCCTCAGGCCTTCCAGCACTGGGCCTCTGCCTGGGCCCTCACTCTGGAATCTCCCACTGACTCCTGTTCATCCTCTGGGTCATCATATTCCTGCGTCTTCTGGGAAGCAGCCGCTGGTGCAGGTGAGGCCCCTTTCCTGCTTACCTCCAAATTCTCCTTACCTGGTGCCTAGGTCCTGCACCCCAAGGTGGGACACATTGTTAGAGTCCATGTCTGGCTCCTCAGGTGTATTCCATGTGACAAGCACAGGGCTGGGCCCACAGTAGGTGCCCGAGAACAACTTGGTCAATCAGAGTGCCATTACCTTTCCATTTCATTCACCAAAATCCCAGCCTAAATCTCCAGAGGGAAGGAACCAGAACCATCTCACAGGCCCAGATCTCCCACAGAGACTGGCGAAGGAGTTTGGACTTTAAGTCTAAGGGCACCAAGGACCATGGAGGGCTGTGAGCAGGGGAGTGAATGAAATAAAGAGATGAGTTTGCGACAACTGCTCTGGACACAGTGCAGGGACAGGCTGCAGAGGACCAGACCGGCAGCTACTGCAATAGCGACTAAGATGCATCAGGTTTCACATGCCAAGATGCTGATAAGCAGATACTAATATCAGCAATTAACTGTAACTGAGTACTTCCTTCATCTAGACAAAGGCTAGATTTCATCTACAGACTAGCTCAGCCTCATGTGGTAAGTACTTCCAATTACTCTCCCTTTACAGATGGGGAAACTGAGGTAGAGCAAGGATGACCGACTTATCCAAAGTTACCTGGGAGTACATAAGGGGCGGCGTCCAGATTCAAACCCAGGCCGTCTACCTTCACAGTCATTGGCCTCAAGACGTCAAAGCCCCCAACTTCTCCTCTCTGGCCCCAAGTCTCTGCTTCCCATCAGTCTGACTTTTGCTCCTTCTGTAACCTTCATTCTTAGTCTAGTCACATAAAGGCATTTGAAAAATTATAGCTCAATGGCCTGAGTGCTTAAATCTCCTCTGATGAGGAATGGAGAAAAAAATACATTTATGCCATTCTGAAATTAGCCATTGACAAACAGCAGTACAACTTTTTCATCAACAAACGGAATATCATCTCAGGATCCAGAAAGCGACTGCAGTCCAAGCTGAAGAAGCGGTTCTCCAAAGCTCTTCGTTCATGTTGGTCTGACACTGGAAGTTACTGGAAAAAACCCCAGCCATTCCCCTCTCCTCCACCTTTGCTGTTGACTGATTTGGTTCAGAGTGACAATATATCCATTCCTAAAGCATGAAGCATAATCTGTCTTAGCCCATCACAGCTATCTGGCCACCCTCTGCTGGATATATGCTTCCATAGCTTGTCGAATAGCTAGTGGTGGTGACGTGACCCATTCTCCGCCAATGAAACGTAAGGAGTAGTTTTCTGGGCAGTTTCAATGACATTTTTTTTTCCTTTTTATTAAAGGAAAACTTCTATATCTACTGCCTTCCTTCCTACTTGGGATGCTATTGCACAGTTACAACAGTTGTTTGCAACCATGAGGTGACAAGATTAAAAGTGGAGAGCAAAGTTCAAGTCAGGCAGAGCGGGAAGACGGAGCCAGTGTGGGTACCTGAGGACCCTGTCGAACCACTAAACCCAAGCTGCAGCTGCCCTCCTCCAGGCTTCTTCCATGAGATTATGAGGTGCTGATAAGCAGAAGCAACCGCTATTCAGTTGTTCTGTCACTTGCAGCCTCAAACTTTCCAAGTCCATTTTCCAGGTAAATTTACAAACTTCATCTGCATTCTGCCTAATACACGCTCTCAAAGTTGATTTTTGGGGTTGGACATTCTGAGCTGGGTGTCAGGATACAGGTCCAAGTCCTGCCTGGGCCACGTACTCCCTGTGTGGCCTTGGGGAAGTCACTAAACCTCTCTGATCCCAGGTCGTTATGCCTAGGAAGGTGCTAATTCATCTTGGGCTTACCCTAAAGGGCTCCCAGTGAAGACCCAATGGGACAATAGACCTGAAAATGCTTTGCTAATAAAAAGGCCTGGGCATGTGGGGGACTGCAGAGGGGACTTAAAAGTAAAGAAGACCAAGAAGTTCTTGCCCTCATCAGGGAGGAACATGTGCAGTAATCAAAACCATGCTCGCCGTCACTGTGTGAGCCGGGGCCACAGTGGAGGGATCTGCTCTTCTGAACCCCCGCCAGCTTGTTAGTGGCATCATCCAAGCTTGCAGTTGACTAATTTCCCTTGACTGCATCAGGATAAAGCTATGCTGAGCAATCTGGTCTGTATCACCAAAGGGAGCTGGGCTCAGCCGCCTGTGGAAGGGAATGGTGCACACCGGGCAGCTGTGCCAAGAAGGCCCGCTGGCTGTGCATGCTCACGATGCTACCCAGAGCCCGTCCCGAAGGGGACACCAAGGTCACCTTGCACGTGAAACTGCTTCCCGGCTCCCAGCAGCTCTCCATTTGGAAACCTAGCAGTTCTGCATTTTTATAGATGTTCCCTAGATTTCAACTTTGTGAAACAGTAATGTAGGCTAGCCAAATCAATTTATAACCGGAGATCTGGTCACCTCAGCCCTTAGAAAGCGTCTTCCTTCACCCCTACTTAAACAATCGAATATCAATAGTCTAAGGAAGAAAAGGATACAATGCACATTATCTTTAGCCCGATGAAATTTTCTTCTGCCATTTGCTTTCGTTCCTTCCTGCTAACAGGACTGAACTCTAAAGAGGAACTCTACCAGCTCCTTTCCCCACCAAAGTGGTAACTTGTTCTTGCAGGTTTCTGGGAAATGAAAAGAATCTCTTAGCAGAATAAGAGAGGGCTCAGGCAGCCCTAGAGAAGGTCCAGCCAGGCCACCAACCACATGGTAAGGATGTGGACAAAGAATTTTCACCCCTTAAAGAGCTTAGAAATGGCCACATAGACACAGGGACTGCTGGCTTCCTTCTCCCCTTCTATTTCCTGGTGGGCTCTCCTCTGATTCACACAAGGGTAGGGCAGTAGAGCTGAAGCAACTCAGGCAGACAGGCTGGCTCTGCCACAAACTAGCTGGGTGAGTTTGGCCAAGGCACCTCAGCTCTTTGAGCCTTACTCTTTGTATTGGGTATTGTAGTGTACCTCCCTCCTGATCTCACTGTGAGGACAGAATGAGATAATTTGGTAAAGAGTCAACACAGAACCTGGCATGTAAGAAAGAGAAAGCAAACAGCTAGTGCATGTGCACAAGAAAGAAAGACAATACTTCCGTGAGTGTGACGTGTGATACATGGAGACAAAGACTGACAGGTGTGCCCTCCACCTGGAGCTGGTACTTGCTAAGTAGGAAGGGGGTGCAGGTGCGGGCGACGGCAGTGACCTACCCTTATGGAACAGGGCTCACATGCCCCTGACCCCCTCCAGAGAGCACATACTCTGCACTCGCTGGAGAGAGGGGCTTCGCCAGGAGACACATGTGACTGTCTAAAAACCTGGGACGGAAGCCACCATGGTGTAGGGCCACACACTGTCCCACTTAGTGCCACACTCTGAACCCTCTCAGTGACCGGGGTCTTTGGCAGACCGGGAGCCGAGATAGTGCAGCCAGCTTACTGCCAAGTCCCCTCCCAGGAAGGCATCTGCCAGGGAACCCTTTGTTCCTGTGTTTGCTCACTGAATCTTAACAAAGCACCTGCTATATGCCAGGGACATCAAATACTGGCTACATGTGCACATGATCGTCATTGCAGAGTGATCATGAGCTGCTTTTTCTTGCTTTCATTAGTAAAAGGATATGCTTATTATAGCTGAACATAAGTTCTGCTTTTCCTTTTCATGATAAAAAGTACTTATCTGTGATGCTGCAGTGGTCCATCCAAAAACAAAAACAGGCCTGAGATAAAGCCATGATCTTCATCGCAGAAGCTATCCCTCCCTCTCCAACCACAAAACCCTACTCTCTGACAGCAACGGACACATCAACACCCTCTTTTTCCTTCCTTTTGCATAATCTCTGGAAGCATTCCACTCCTCTTCCACTTTAAAGATATGGCAAAATCATCAATGGGAATTTTCATGATGATCTAAAATAGAAAAGGTGAACTTTAAGTTTCATTAAATG